TTTATACTAAGGTATTATACATATTGGGCATACACTAAACAATGCTCGTAGAAATTTTAGGAAATTCCTTTTAGTGCTATAACAAAACTTCTGTTTAAATATTTCATGAATCTAGAATTTAGGTTTCGGCTGTGTGTTATACAAGACATGAATCGATCAATTGAAGTTTTATTACTAGATATCAACATAATTAAATGCTTACCACCAACACTGACTATGAGGACCCTTCTTCCTTTGTGGTCACGACCCTTCATAACATTGGCCATTTTATGCCGCAGGAAGGCCTCCTCCTCATGTTCAGGCACTAGATCGTCAGTAAAAGCTGCATTGTCACGTCTGAATTCTGCTAAGCGTCGCATCTGTAAAAGATAAATGCTATTTGTCTAATTTCAATTCAGCGGTCACTTAATTATCATGACGATATAGTTCCTGAGCGGAAGTCTATAATTATTTTTATGACTTCGTTTGTTACGTTTTTTCCAATGTAACTTTGGGAATCACCCTATTCAAAGATATACTTGTAATTTGGAAATTACCTATTCATAGATAACTATGAAACTATTCAGATTTTCAAAAAATATTTTGCTGCTATTCAAATTGAAGTGTGGGACTGAAATTAAAGGATATATAAAATTATAGGATAAGTATGAAGGAGGTGAAGGTACCGCTTCCTTCATATTTCATATGTATGCCTCCATCTAGGATTTTAGTTCTCAGGAACTGCAGTTGAATTATATAGTAATACTATTCTCATAGTATGGGTTGGGATTCATATAAACTTAGGCATCCCTTAGGCATCATTGGACTTAACAGTAGGTATATCACAAATCAAATCCATGAAATTTGTCAGGCAATAAAGTAATTTGTTAATTAGTTTAACATTCAAAACTGCATAAAACACTGTGTAGATAGTCCGATAATAAAAAATATATTAAAAGTATATTTACTACATTTAGAGACTACGAAAGTCTCTGATAACAATGTTTCCTCACATTTTCGGATCTTCTAAGAATATTTGAGAGATAAATAATAAAGATTAGACGTTAGAACGTCAAATATCAGAATATTATTTATGGAATTTATTTACACGTATATTTCTAGTCTTTAATATATCTACATGAGTAAGTTTTCCCTTGAAAGTAGTCTGGCTTCATACGAAAAATGAACATAATTACATAGCTAGATGATTAGCGAGACGCGATGCACATTAAATTAAATTAATATATATATATTTTAAATTTCCTGAATATAGTCCCACTTATTACACAACTATTTAGCCCTTAAAGCAACAAAATAAAATATACAGAACGATTTATAGTTTATATTTAGGTATAAAAAATAGTAATTTGAAATACAGTTCAGTAACATTTATTGTTATTAATTATAGTAGTGATACTAGTACATATAATAAGGGCTTATATTAATTTACCTTACTTACTATTAACTATTTACTATTACTATTTACTATTTTGTTTTCAAGAAAATGGTCATATATACTCTAAATCAGAATTTAAAAAGTTGTCAGAAATTATAACCTCGAATATTTAAATACAATATTATCTGTGATATAACCAATAATCGAGCCTATCTAATTAGTAGCCCAAATATCTAATTTACCATATGATCCATCTAAAATTTGACCAATTTGAATTCATCAACTTTTAAATTTTTACTCACATCCCAATTCCCAACGTTCATTATTGCCGCTATTACATAATTATGACTGGTGGTATACTTTCATTGTTGTGCAGCAATAGTGCAAGTCACACAAAACATTTTTGTGTTAGGTCACACGAGGTTTGTTGTATTATAGCGTTTCAATTTGATGTTTGTTACAAAAGTCAACTATCTATTCATAATACTTCTACCAAGTACCGATTTGTACTTCGTGAATTCTCTATTTAAACAAAGTGCATAGTTTTTTGCTTATAAAATACAAGTAACATGTGATTTGGTTCAACTGAGATCATAAACACAAAAATATTGACAGTTTCACGTTAGCCACTGCAATCGCTTGTTATCATAACGACCGTATAACAGTTTATAATATTATCTTACAAACAATGGATCCATTTCCTCTTTGTTTCCGATAATATGGTAGGAAAAGTATTTACTACTAACTTACGAACAGATATTAGAAACGAAGTCGAATTTCGTTTACATAGTTAAATTATTTACTTAATCGATAAGAATGAAAGCAAGATATCCTGAACCACAAGAATGACATAATATCGTTAAAAATTTATTACATTATATTATATCATACATACTATTTACATACAACATAAGATTTTTATATTTGATTGATAGATACGTTTTTCCTTTAACATACAAAGATATATTTGTCGTCAAGGTTTTTGCTATTTCTAAGCAATTTTGATATTTTCCAGTTGTCTTAAAAGCACCCATACGTGCGTTTAAACAGTATAAATCCAATTTTATTGTATTTTTTTAAAATGAGATAATTTGTGAAACGCAAATAACTGCTCGTGTGTAATTTGTCTAGACTTCATGTTATTCAAGTCATTGTCTACAACAATTTTCTTCACAAATTATCTCTGTATCTCATTTTTGTAGTAAGTATTATCTAGTTTTTTTATAGTAAGGCTGATCTAACAGGTGATGGTAAAGACTATGCTTGGAATGTCTTTAAAATGTAATTCAGAGTAAGAAGATCTGACAAAGAACTAAAGTGGTTAACATAATATAACTAAGTCTAGAAATTAATCAACTGAAGTGGCAATAAGCACTGAGATTACTACCGTGAAGATATACTGTACTGGGATAGACTTTTTTTAAGTAACGCTTTCCATTCGATCTTTTATAAAAAAAAAACTAACTACAAAAAAATATTGTGAATTCATATTATGTTCGGTAATTCCGGTTAGACGATGAACCATTGCAGTCAAACAATCCGAACATGTTACGTACACATGTAGATACAGACAAACCATGTAAGCTATTTTTGACAACCAAAAGGGTCAAAGATATGTATGATGATGTATTACGAAGTTTAACAATGACGTTGATTTTTTTGTTGTTTGTAACATGTTTGTAAATCTGACAATGACGTCAAGTGACGACCTTAAAAAATTAAATAATAGCAATCTCTTACAATATATACCCTTAGATAGATAATATTAGGTGCTTTTTCTATAATATATAGGACGTGGCGAAAGAGGTATAACAAAACAGAATCCAACCAACCATCCAACTTTCCAAGAAAGATATCTGTACCAATAATGTACTCCAGTTGGCGGCAACTTGAAGAATTTAGTATCTAAAGTTTAAAAATTTGCTTCGTATTTAGATTAGATATATTTTGTAAATGTTATACTAATGGACTTCGATGTAGATAAAATTCCATTTCTGTGATTTCAGTTTCTTACAATACACATCACGTTGTATACTTATTGCAAATAGTAATTTTATTTTAACTAACCTAAAGGGAAAACAGTTTAAACTTAAATAATAAATTACTTAACTTTTTAAATACATATGTATGTACCTTTTTATATACATATATACTTACTGCAATATACATATATAGTTATATCAAATTGCTGCATTGGGTTAGATAGAAAGGTCGGTAAGCGGTCAGTAGACATTCATGCAATTGCGATTGCAGCCAATTGCATCATTGTTCCTTAGTCAAAATATTAGTATCTAGTTAATATGAGCTGCAGTGAAACGTTATAGCCTTAAAATATCTGTGCATTACTGTGGATAACATACATTTAAAAAACCAAAATAAGACAAGATCGTTTATTGTATATACAAGAAACGGATCTGTCTGTCAATTCCAATTAACTTCATTTTGATTTATTAACTTTCTGTATTGTATTATACGAGTAAGTCACTGATTTTTATTTAGCAGGGAGTTTCTTAACTCATCTGTCTTAGTACTTTTTCCACTTATTTAGACGTGGACTATACTCAGCATGGAAGACTCAAATATTGTTGTACTTTTAAAATTATTGATTTACGAAATTTCTGTCCTAATATGTTAGATAGTATGAGTAGATTCTTAGTTTTACATACCGCTAAGGGTTTTGACTTCACCCTGTAAATATATACCAAATATCCCATTTTGGGGGAAAGGGATTGTTAGTAATGGAGACTAAGAATCCCATTGCTAGCAATATACCCAACCAGCGGTTCCCCTGGAAACTATCATGGTTAATTCCTGATGAATTCATCATGATGGGCTAACTGGCCTGTATTCATTCTCATCAATCACCCTTCACTGGTGCTCCGCTAGCGTATCTCATTAGCGCAGGCGGAGTTACCATTCCATTTTCACCCATAAAAAAAAATATCCCATTTTAACAATAAATGATGGTACGATCCATAGACATGTTTTGCTGATAAAATATACCTATCGGTCATGTAGCGGTCAATAATATGATTAACAAACAAATATATAATTTTGTTATTGGAATAAATATCTTCATTAACTTAATTGCTAAGACACATCGGTTAATTATTATCTAGACACTTAATTGTTTTCAAAAGTGACAGATAATCATGTTACATATCTGGTCTTTAACTAGAACATCCGGTTAGTACACAAATAGATAAAGAGGTCACTGAGGCCAAATTTATTATTCAAATTTGAACCATTTTTTTAATAAAATTGGATAATAGGTTAGTGCACCCTGCTCGACTGATGATTGCGGATTCAATCCCCGCAAATAAAATAAGATAATAAGTATCATATAAGCCTTTAACTGTCCACTGCTGAACATAAGTCTCCCCCTTGGGAGGTTTTGCCAGTAGTTGCCACGCTTGTCAGGCGGATTGGCAATCGCAGTTAGGCTTTAGAGATGTTTTAAGACGCTGCCACGCTGACCATCCCTATGTATACATTTCTTCACTTCATGCAGACCCATAACATTTAATGTTTATTAAATTAATTTAATGTATAAATTACCGCCCATATGCAATAATCTGTTATCATAATCTAGCTTAGTAGGTACCGGAATAAGAGCTATCATAATCGGCGCCTATAGATATAGGTACTTTAGATATATATTAATTTATAATTAGCGATGAAGCTGACTATAAATTAATATATATTACTCAACATGATCATGCTAGTTAGCAACAATATTGTTGAATTATTTCTTATCATCAATCGTCAATTTATAATCATTACGAGACTGTCCTCTTAGTCTCATATATTCCTATATAGTCCTATAAGTAATATATATATATATATATATATATATATATATATATATATATATATATATATATATATATATATATATATATATATATATATAATCATAGATTAGGAATAGTATTTTCTTTTTACTTTCTACTACTGTGTGTAATACTTGTGGGTCTTATTTATTTATTTAAACCTTAATAATTAATAAAAATGAATACAAAAAAATAGAAGACTTATTGCTAGTTAGATATTCATCATTACTTTTGTTAGGGACCGCAAACACCTACTGTACTTAATAAATATTACCTTGTGTATGCACACGTTAATAAAATTTTAATCTTGTGGCTATAAAAAAAACAAACAAAAACCGTTTCGCAAATTTCGCAAGGTTTGATAACCAAATGATGACCTTGTGATTTGGAATCCGTACCTGTGGTTAATAAACTCTGCAACCATAAATAAATAAATAAAAAACATCAACTATTCTGAGCGATTGATAAGGTAAATAAAAAAAAGTTATAAAGATTCATATCAAAACCCTTACGCCACGCCTGTTCTTTTTTACCCTACGCAATACTAGTACGCTAATCTCCTTCCTTTATGAGGATCCGTGTCCAACAGTGGACAGTTTATGAATTGTTATGGACATTACAATTATGTAGAATAAAATGATGCTGCCAATGCCACAAGGCCTACAGTGCACGTCTATACGCAACTGATAAGCGTTATCTGTGTATTTCACGATAAAATATGAACTTTGACATTGATTACATATTATGAATAGGTATAAGCAGTTCTTTAACATTTTAAACTGTAAAAATTAATGTTTTATAAAAGACTAGCTATATCCCGCAGCTTTCCCTGCGTGAATCAGTACATAAAGTATCCTGTGTGCTAAGTTAGAATATAACTACCCGTGTAGTGTACAAAATTTAGAGTATATCAAAATCTTTTTTAGTATACTTTAAATTAATAATAAGCATCCATCCATACATCCATACAAATATTAATATTTATAAATTAATAGGATAGTTATGAACTACTGGTATACCTACACAATCCCAACTTATAGAAGTCAAATGTAGTGAGTTTGGATTTGACGAGACACTAAAAACTTTAAGAGTCCATTAATAATCTATCTAACTCCCCGGTGACGATTTGGGGGGAAAGGGATTGTTAGTAACGGAGACTGAGAATCCCAATGCTAGCAATATACCCAACCAGGTCGACCTCCTCGCGGTTCCCCCTGGAAACTATCATGGTTAATTCCTGATGAATTCATCATGATGTAGCCCATCATGATGAATTCATCAGGAATTAACTGGCCTGTTTTCATTCTCATCTATCACCCCTCACTGGTGCTCCGCCAGCGTATCCCGTTAGCGCAGGAGGGGTTACCATACCATTTTCACCTATAAAAAAAAAACTCCCCGGTGACGATAAACACCGTTAAGAAACCAAATTAGTCGCCCTTTGCTTCGCTGGACTGTAATATACTCAGCTACTATTATGTATAGTATTATTACATTATCTGTGACTCAGCGAAATGTGGACAAATGAATATTATATTGTCCACAACGGTATTAGTCGATAAATGTTTCTGACTACCCTATTGCATAATTACAGGCGCAAGCATGTTTATTTATTTTTATTACATATTTCTATCAATCATTCTTCGTCAAATTATTTCCACTATAATTTGACAAACAATGATTCCACTCGCCGATAAAGAAGAAGAATTAATTTTAACTGAACTTGAAATAAATAAACAAATTAATTTAAGATACCGCCGTAAGGTCGGCGCTTGTCTTGTGGATTCTAAAATTTATTATTATTGTTTGTAACTATATTAAAATAATAACAGCAGCCTCTATCTATTCCAGTTGAGATTACACTCGTAAATATATATTTATTTTTATGTTAACAAAAAAATTACTAAAAACTCTAGCTTTAAATAATTACGGTTTATATAGATAATGAGATACAGCATGACCCATCGATTGTATAAAGTCACGTATAACATAGAACTATATTCTGTTTTTCTATATACTCGGCTGGCATAATTAGTAAACAAACTTGGCATGTCTTTTTATCGCAATGACAGTGGATAAAATAAACAAAGCTGAAATAAAAGGCCTTTGGTATTACGAGTACTTCATTATAATATGTAAATTATTATTTCAGTTTCGGTTTTATTTTAACAAAATTAACGTGATTTTTTCTATGTTAATATTAAATAAACTCGCGGGCTTATGCCCGCTAAAATAAGGAAACAAAACAGAATATCTAGTAAAAATGGAATAGAAAAAAAAACACGGATATGTCAATATTCTGCGAATGAATGATTCCCAGGACATTAAATACTTCTTTAAAAACTACCCTAACAAAGATAAGTGATTGCTTCTCATATAAATTTAAATAATATTTAATTACACTGGCAGGTAATATTAACAAATAGTCGCAATATTACGGAGATATGCTTAACCAACAAATATTTTTTTTATACTGAACAGAATGGCAAACAAGCTGACGGCCCACCTGATGGAAAGTGGTAACCGTCGCCTATAGACATGAGCAGAATCATGGACATAACAGAGTATACTGTTTCGCCCATGATACCCCCCCATGCGTTGCCATTCTTGAGGACTCAGGTGTTATTCCTCTGTACCCTTAATGGGTAACACGCCATATCCCACTCTTCAAACCGAAACACAGCCATGCAAACACAACTGCTTCACGGTTGAAACACGAATGGGATATATCTTTTATTTAATAAGTTACAACAACCCAATCATTGTTAAGTCATCTTTGTATATTCAACACGAATAATGAAGGCAAATATTAACGCATAAAATATGATGCAAGGACTGACCTATTCTTATCTAATTAGATATATCATTAATTAAGTGTACTGAACAACATTGTGGTAGGTAGGTACATTCTGTTTTATCTATTAGTCCTATAGTTTCTAGACTAAGGGCAAAAACAACGGGACAAAGTGTAGGATGCGTGTTAAGCATCATTTTATTATTTATATAATTTTACTGTTTATATGTATAATTATCGTCGTGTCCATCTCAGAATTGTCTGGTGCCCATCCCAGAGTTCGAGTTTTAACTATGCCTAAAGGCATGTCTAAGAGTACACAATGTGCCTTTTATAAGGGGCAGATCACCCTGAAAAACAATCTTAAACACGCCAATGATTAACATATCGCGTTATTAAGTTTATCAATTAAAAAAAACATAATGACATAAAAATCATTTACTGTAAAGGTTTTTTATTCTGAAGATTTATTTTATACGCTGTCATTCTAAATAAAACCCACGCCAAGATTTTGTACTACTTGTACCAAATATAGAAAGACAGATTATAGGTAGAAAACTTGATCTTAATAAAATATCCAATCGACTCAGTAAAAAACAATATATAATATGAATTAACGATCATCAAAATTTCAGTATTACTAAAACATAGCCACTCCCTTTTAAGATAGTATGCATGGAATTGATGAGTCCATGGAAAGTATCCAGCTGAAGAATGCATTTTTTTTTCTTTAAGAATAAAAAAAATTTTAAAGGTCTTTAAGGACTGAATTTTCTTACAATTTCATATTTTAATTCTTAACTGTTGAGCTTTACAATGATGAGTCAATGAATGAGTCTGCACCTTGCCTTTTTATTTAGGTATGATTAACAAATACTATATTTAACTGTAGAGTGTAAAAGTACTGATAAACTAAGTATCCATACCGCAACGAAATAGTAGTTGTACCTACTTACAAAATAAAGTCTATCATCATAACATCGACATATTACACTTTATCTGTAAAAATGTTACAAGAAACCATTTACGACATCATTTTGAATATCATGACAATGCTAGTTATGTCATTGTTCTATGACTTCACATAACTATCTATGCGCACGCTGTAACTCCATGTATCCTAATTATGACACGATTTCCAAACAAAACATCAAGCAATAGTTCAACAAATACTGTAATTCTATTCTAGATTATTTAGTAACGTAACGCTACCATAATATAGGTCTGTGCAGTGATATCTAGGTATACTCGAATAACGATCAGCGTGGTATAGGTATTGTTTATTGTTAAGATAATTAAGATCATCTATTGATTACCTACAAAGACAAAGATTGGTAAATAGGACAATTTTTATGTAATAAATTGCTAAGGTTAATTATCTTTACATAAATAAACTCCATCTTTTTATATATCATATACGGCATTGAAATACGCGACTGTCCTACGTAGAATTCGGATTTCCCGCGTTAAAAAGAAAATTTCAAAAAGAAATTATAGCAAATGATTAGGAATGTATGTAAGTTTCGGTAGAAACTAGTATACTAAGAGTACAGCTGATATTAAATAAACAACCGAAATAATAAGACCGAAATCATTTTAGTTTCTAAACTGACTTACTGAGAACCAATTAAAAATTTAAAATATTTTCGGTCAGAATTCAAATCCACAATTTTATTTATGCGAAGCATCATATTAAATCACAGAAGTTGTCTATTAGGTATACAAAATGCATACTACAATAATTATATTTTAATAATATATTTATTTAAAAGTTACTCACCAAAGCTAATGCACTTTCCGGATACCATTTGCATGGGCGAAGAAAAATAGTTAGGATCTCGTCATCATCACTGAAGTACAAGTCGTCATTCTCCTTGAGGAGTTCGCGGAGACGCTCGATAGCTTCCCTCATTCGCTCTGGTGTCTCCCTCAACTCCCGTTCCGCAATCTCCTTAGTTTCAGGTGACAACTCGACGTTGCGTTCTATCCTAAAATCGCTTGAACTCATCTTTGACGGTGTATTCTGTAAATAATTAAACAGTTTAGAATATAAAACTTATTGAAGGTTTCAAGTTATTTAATTAACAACGAAAATAAACAGTGTCTTATCACATATTAAGACAATGTTTACATGGACCAAATATGATTCCGTTAGTAGCAAAACATAAGCAAAGAAATTAGTAGAGAATATTACTATAGTACATGACTTTTTTATACAACTATGGTGGCAAACAAGCATACGGCCTGTCTAATAGTAAACGAGGTTACTGTAGCTTATCAACACCTGTAACACCAAGGATGTCACTTTGTCAACCCTAATACTCAAATAATAATGCCGTACTCGTAATAGAAAATGTAGGCATGATTATCTAATGGTTGTAATTTATTATTATCATCGTCATATCAGCCGTGAACTATCCACTGTTGAACATAGGGCTCGCCTTGAGATGTTTATTATGTTCATGACTTAATTTAAAACTAACTTTAACACTGATAGCTGTCGCAGTAGGTATCATGTACCTATGATTCAACAACTGAAAACCAAGTGTCACGATATTCGTTCACACTAATCTCCTAAACCCCCTTAATATATTTTAATTAAATTTTATAATATTGTATTTGTCATCTTGAGGTGACCTGGTAGATTACGATAGAAGGCAAAACGACGTTTGCCGAATTAGCTATAATTATATTTTTTATATGACTCATTAAAACTTTAGTATTATCAGCAATGTGACTATGTTTGCATGTAGTAACATTTTTTTTTTCATTATAGTACGACATCTGACCACACTATTAATGAATACGATCAACCGAAAAAAAAAATATTTACTCTCAACCGTTAACAGCATTATGCCGGTTCACTAAACACTTTTTGACGCTATCTTTTAAGGATCCGAGATTACAGGATGAAGGAAACATGTCTAAGGAAAGGCTATTCCACATTGTTACGGTACGGTTTACGTAAGAGCTGGCAAACTTATTTGTAAGCGAACGCAGGCGGTCAACCGTGTGGATGTAGTCGCGGGCCCAACTTCAATGGTGGGATATCGGAAAGAGGAAGTAGGAATGAAATTCATTTGAGCACTCCCCATAAATAGGCGGCAGAAAACAGTGAAGGAGACTACATCTCTACGTAACTGTAGAAGTTCTAGAGTTTTTCTCACTTCAGCATCTCCCACAATACGGACTGCTCGTCATTGCATTATTAATTTAATTATTAATTTATTTATTAATTTTATTATTAATTTTTTTTATGTAATCTATTGATTTTTATTTAAACCTATGGTATTACCTTTGCCACTACATTTTATTTCCCAGGCTGATCTATATTTATATTTGCAACGGAAACACTGCAAATTTGAAATAAATTCTCATACTTACATCTACATATAATATTCGTGAAAAAAGCTACTAATAATAAACTAAAACTCTTTAAAGAAATATCTACCAAAATCTTAATAAAATGATATGAATCCTAGGGTCTACATCAATATGAATGACTCGTTATCTTATCTGTTTTAATGAGATGTTAAATGGTTGACACGAAATGCCACAATCATAAAAAACATACGTATGTTAACGAAAAATTCGAAAGTACGTTCGTTACGTATCGTACGTTCTTCCTTATCGAGAAATGTAGGTACAATTTAGATATAGGATATACCTACCGGTATTTTAAGAGAACCTGCATTTACTTCATTGGTTGCGTAAATTAAAGAATAAAATTGAACAAGTATCTAGATATAATTATATAAAAAAAAGATTTTATTTATACAATAAAATCTTAAGAACTTAGTAGAAACAAAGAATTATATTTCTTTTATTGAGATTTGAACCCGCACCTTTCACTTCATGTCAGAGCCAGTGTTCTTACCAATTTAGGTATCGCGTTGCTGGATGCCCCTTTCGAAATTAATAATAACTACACATGATTTTAATATAGTGTGATTATAATTATAATTATACGAATCTTTTTATGTCAAACCATATTTTGTTAAATTATTAAATAATCTAAAATTAAAGCAAAATTTTCACTCATTGTCATTTGTGGCTATTAGAGATAAATTCTCATGACACTGGCCACAAGGCAAGAACTTATTATATATTCTTCGCACATCATAGCACGTGCCTTTGACTTGATTGTTTAAAAACACATATTTCTCGCTTGTAAATTAACACCAGCCCTAGAATATGAATTATCAAGAAACCAGTCAGAAATTGAATAACTAATTACGTCTACTCAATTATCAGGTAAGAAATTGAGTTTACAGAAATTAATATTTTACAAACAACTAGATTTTACAGAAAAAAAATACCACTACTTCGATTGTAACAATTCTAATATAACTAATTCAATTGTAATGAATTAAATCCCATCAACTCCAAAAAGTATCATTAAAATTGGTATCAATTTGGCGAAACATCACGTAATATTTTAAACATAAATATATAAATTTTCCTTTTATCATAATCGTTACTAAACAACTACATATAAAAGTATAAATAATATATAAACCGTAAGAATTTAAAAAAGAATTGTCAATATTATATTATAGATTTAACGAGTATATAAAATATAAAGTTAATAAAAATACAGTCGAACCTCGTTTGTTTTAGAATTGCTTAAAAAATGGGCGAGAGAAAACGTGTCTATTCAAAAGATAAAAGAAAGAATAAGTTTTTTCTTTTAAATAAAATATTCAAGTTATTACAAATTAAACATAAATGCACCACCTATTTTATCGTTATCCTTAAAAGTTAAAGTCAAGTCCACATTGACTAAACCATTGAATTTATAATTAATTTAAATATTTTATGAAAGACAGTTATATATTTATAAACAAGTAGTAAGTATGTACCTTAAATTATATACAAACGCTTTACAAAATACATATCAACTTTTTATCCATATGTATGTGTGTGTAAATACGTAATAATATGGATACTATAATATATTTATACAATTTTGAATTATTATTTTCTACAAAAAGAAAAAAACGATTTCGGTTGCGGCAAAACTTGATTTTGATAATTTTTATGGCACCAGTCTGAAAGTATTTTCCTTTCAGATAAAAAAATTCACCTCATTTCGAGAATTTTTATCAATTGTGAGGATTTTTTCTGAATACTTGCAACACTAAAAATAGAGCGATTTCTTTAAAAGAAATGTTCTTAAAATTTAAGGTACTTAGCGGTTATAAGTGATTCCTTTATTAGTTCTATTTTTTTGTTTTATAATTTTTGCACCTTTTTAAAGCGCAAAAATTAATTTTATTTATTAAATAATTAAATATAGATAAGTCAAGATACATTGTGTGCGTAAAAATATAGAACACTTAATAGAACACTAATAAAAAAAAGGATGACCCATATTTAAGACTCGATGTTCTTCCTATATAATTTAAGATCTACCTATGTCTGGGTGGTCTTCTTCTACTGTAGGTAATTAGCTATTTGTAATTTATTCAATCCTACACAAGCCGATGTAATCATATTGTATTTGTTCCAATTAAAATGCTAACTTGTAAGTAATAAATATTTAGCTAAATAACAAAAAAAAAGCGTGTTTATGTCCACAAGAGAAAATATATAATTTTATATACATATATTTTTTTGTACATTAATTAAATTAAAAAATAATCATTTACAAGAATGAATTAGTTTCCCTTCTTATAGTTTATATTATTGTATTATTAATAATATTTCTTACCAGCCTTGAGTCTTTTTAATTTAATAAAAATAACCACTATATATTTTGTTTATATTTCGTTTTACGTACACATGCACTAAACAAAAATCTTCAAGGCACGTTCACGGCACAAAGTGTATCACCGAACTGATATGAATTGGTTGCTTTATCATATAAGTACTTAATAAAAAATGTTATAAATGTAAATACACACTAACCTCACACGCGTTGTGGAAACTCACGCGCCGGCGAAAATTTTAAATGGCGGGAAATCGGACGTGCGTCGTGTAAGAAGTGCAGGCGAGTGTGCGCGTGCGCGTCATCGCTGCTATTTTATACTCGTAGATATGATAAGGTGCAGCCGCTTTGTTCTCCCGAGTTCATAATCAACGGAGGGTTGAAAACTAAGATAACGCAAAGGACTATGTCGCAACGGACGGAAGATAAATAAGTACAAAAATAATATATATTATAATAATTAGAGACTACATCAGACACATTGATGGTTCATCGCTATTGGTTGCATTTTCATACACGATCTAATGTACGAGTATTAAGACGAACCCACAAGTCTGGAAGGACATGTAATAAATTTTACTTGCGCTCGCCCGTTCTAGTATGGCTATTCCTTAACAACACAATAAATTGACGCATTAAAGTATTTACATATACCTACTACGTGTATACCAAATTTCAAGAGAATTAATTAAACTGTTAAAGCGCCAAGACATAACAAACAAACTTTCACGTTTCTGATAAGTATTAGTAAAGATAGTTTACAATACTTGTAGAGTAAGTATGTATGTATTGTATGCTTATACAATTTTTTGATTTGATATTAATAATTTTAAGGTTAAACCATAATCCTTAATTTATTTAAATATTTATATTATTATATTACTTAAATATTAATAAAAAAGAAACTTCCATATTCTTCTCTGCCAATGCGGCATCGGGGAAATAAAATAGGTCGTCAATCATAACTATTTACACGTAGACAACTTTGTTGCAGAGACCATGAATCGAGCTAACAACCAATTAGCTATCAATTTAATTGTTATTTAAACTAATTAGTTTTTTATTAATTAGTACTTAGTATTATATTTTATTTTGTCTTGGACAAGACATTACCAATGTAGGTAAATAATAAATAAATAAATGCCTCTCTCTCGCAAAAATCATGTAGATGTAGGAAAGTTTGTTTGAAAAATAAATAGGTTAGATATCTATGTCGATTACACTGTTACTATTTTTAAGACTAAAAAATATAGATGATCTCAATTCGCCCTTATTTTTTGTATGTTACGCGTTATTCAATAATTATGTTCCATTTTTGATAATTTTTTAACAAGCGATAGGGTAATGAAGGAAATTTTAGATATCGTTATTTTTTGATTTTTTTTTTATGCAATTTAGAATGGTAAACAAGCTGACGGCCCACCTGATGGAAAGTGGTAACCGTCGCCTATAGACATGAGCAGTACCATGGACATAACAGAGTATACTGTTTCGCCTATAATACCCCCCATGCATTGCCATTCCTGAAGACTCAGGTGTTATTCCTCTGTACCCTGTAAATTCATTGCCATATCCCACCGTTCAAACTAAAACACAGCCATGCAAACACGACTGCTTCACGGTAGAAACGTAAATGGGACAGAGGCGCCAAGCAAACGACTTTTGTACAAAGTCTCCCTCTGGTAAAAGCAGAAGAGTTTGATTGTCCGTTTAATGTGCTAATATCTGGAGTTACCAGTCTGATATCTTTTTTTTTATTTGATAGCTTATTTCTTAAAGAAGATTACTGGCTACTCAACATTACGATATGACCACGGACAAAGCCGTGGAATACAGCTACCTTTTTTATAATTTTATGGATAATAAAAAAATGTAGGTATTTATAGATGACCGCTATTTTGGATATAAAATGATGAAAATATTATAATCCTTTATTCAACTTTATGACTAACAGGAGGTTAGTCCAAAGTACAGCGAGCACTCAACTTATCGAGACATCATGCCCTCCTCTTTATGTTGTGATTCATCCGTACTCTGAAAACAATTGTAACAGTTTTATTGAGTATTATCGAACATTTTTGTATTACTATGAAGACTTCAAAAACAAAAAGAAATGGAAAAAGTTGAGGCCAATATGCAAATGGTATGTATAGTCGATCAGCACTTTCCATCTGGTCTGAAAAACAAAAAAACATGTGAACCTTCCATATTGACATAGCGCATCCAGCTTTTAAATTAGTATAAAGGACTCTGTATTTTTGTCATTTGTCGATCCATGTTTTAGAATAGAATAGAAAATCATTTATTCAAATAAACTTACATTGAAGCACTTTTGAATAGTCATTACATTTTTTTTAATCTACCGCTCGTTCGGAAAGCTGTCTCATCACAAGAAGAACGAGCAAAAAACTTGCGTGTTGCTCTTTTAAATAATTTTATTATTACTTTACATTTTTAAGTTCTCTGTTAAGTTTCTCTGGGAAAAGTATTTATTTTAACACCCAAAATGATTTTAATGTCCTACATCATTTCATACATAACACCACACTACTTGGTTTGTAAATGCCAGATAAAATATATTATAAGCGAGTCAAACATTGTCTTCGTTTTTGTTAAACATTGCTTTATCTTATTTAACATAATACATGTACATTGAGCTTTTTCAATGTCAGCTAGGCTTTGACTTCTAAATGACACCGGAATTGGACGTTACTGAAGATGTCGGCACCTTGAACCTCAATTCTTTTGGAGATGTTGACAAAAGAGTTCTGAAACTGCGGAGCTACAGCAAATTTTTTTAGCGGTAAGCGTGCATTCTTATATCGTAGTAAAATTGACCTCGATTTAAATTCTAATCACATCAATATACAGAATATTGTGATTAAGCATTTTAAGATTGATACATTTAAATAATTTATGTACTAGTTATTATCGTATGACAAACAAATGTAAAAATACTTATATAGACGTCGTTTTCCTTTGTTATACAAAAATTTTGTAAATATGTATTCTTTGCTACAACTGGAGAGATAATTCGTATTAAAAAAATAAATAACCCGATGAGTAGCAGCAAAGGATAAATCCACCTTTGCTAGTATAACTAGTATTTATAACTGGACAATGGCAATTTATAAAACTTTTTAACAAAACAATAAAGAGATGAATAAAAGGATCTAAAAAGCGAAAAATAAAATTAAACTTTAACAAAAAAAAAACTGTCGAATTAATAATCGAAATATAAAACTTTTAGTCTCCAATTACATAATAATTAATTTGCTTGTCTATTTGTTTGGCGTCAACTAGTAATAACTAAATAATAATAATACAATAATCCGCCGAATAAGTAAGCAAAATGAATGCAATTATTTACATATGCTTTTAATTTACCTTTCACGATATCATTTTGCCACGAATATCCATGATATACGTACTTAATCATCACATCATACATATCCACAATATCATCGAGCAATATTTAGAAGCATAGCATTTTTTTTTTTTGATGGGTGAAAATTATATGGTAACCCCGCCTGCGCTAACGGGATACGCTGGCGGAGCACCAACGATAGATGAGAATGAAAACAGGTCAGTTAGCCCATCATGATGAATTCATCAGGAATTAACCATGATAGTTTCCAGGGAGAATCGTGAGGAGGTCGACCTGGTTGGGTATATTGCTAGCAATAGGATTCTCAGTCTCCATTACTAACAATCCCTCTCCCCCAAAAGCATAGTATTATCTATTATATACATTTGGTCACTTTTATAATAATTTGCCGTACGATATTATCGTGGACGAACACGACTATAACGATGATCTTAGACGGCAATACCGTGAACCTTAAGAAATTTTTTGATGTCCATTATTGTCCATGGTATCTATCATACGTTGCCATTGATAGTGGCGGATTTTTTTAAGGGATGATAATGTAATTTTAACCCCGCCTGCGCTATCGGTATACGCTGGCGGAATACCAATGAGTGATGATAGGTGAAGATGAAGCAGTCATCGTGACAAATTAAACAATAAATCAATCACCATGGTTTCCAGAGAAAACCGCGAGGTCGACCTGATAGGATTTATTACTAGCAATGGGGATGCTGATCTCCATTACTAACAATCCCTTCTCCCCCTAGTAGCGGATTTACACATTTGTCCATCAGTGGACTATTAAAATTTGGCCACAATCAGGTTATTAAAAATGTTTGGTCAAAGAAATTATAACTTTTGATACCAAATCTGCCATACCTAATATCTGCCGTTCTTTTTTTTTTTGGAGGGCAGCTGGGGTGTGTGGGATTCGTACCCACTAAAAACCACACGACGTACCTCGAGGCGCTTATGTTGGATCCTGGGTTCCCGTTTGTACGACTACCGAGTATCCAACGCGACAGGGGGAAGCACAAAAGATCTAAATGGGTCGACGTGCTTAGCAGCTTAGCTGGCCCCATATGCGAATATAAGATAAGATCCAACGCGACGGCCCGCCCTGTAGGTGGTGTAGGGCAGGCAATGTCCCTCCCACCCCTACCATCACAAAAATCTGCCGTCCTAGGCTCTAGCCTACAAATCTGCTGATAAGTCCGCCACTGATTCCTGACGACTAAACTGTTACACCTCCATACCATGTAAATTACTGCCATATATCACCCCCCATAACATACATACCCTTTTAAGCACAGCTGCTTCATAGCAGAAACTCGGGTGTGACAGAGCTACCCATTCTACTTCTACAGTTGATAGATACCTCTGTGTAAAATTACGACTTGCACATAACTATATGTTATTTAGCATTGTCTTACTAAAATTGTATGTTGTACGATGTAATTACCTAAGACACAAAAAACTGAAAAACGGGATGACTCGGTATGTTTTGATCTCTCTACTTAAGTAGCTAGTTCATGAGTCTATTATTAATTTTAGTAAATAGTAATTACTTTAGTAAATAACCACAAAATACTTATTAGTACCTACATCACATTAGATTTTTTTATCATACTTAATATTAGATATTCCATGTCCATATCTATAAAACAATGTAATAAATATTAGGTTTGGATATTAATACGTATATTGAGTTTTGTTCACGAAAATTAGCAAAGAGGATAATTAGGAATTTGGACATAATTAATACTGGAAACGAAAAAAGTGAGAGGTGGAAGCAGTCACTGATGTTTTGACACATTTTTTAACTGCAAAAACTTTTTAAGTAGCAACCCTGTACAAAATATAATTGGAAAAAGTATATTGAATAATACTTTTTATTACTTTAATACAATTGTATATTTACATATATACACATACAATATACATTTATTGAGCTTCGTCAACTTCAGTTCCGATAGCACTGCTACCTTCATCTTCAGAGTTGTCTTCATCGCTGCTTCCTTGCTGCAAAACAAGTAAAATATAAATATGCAGTAATTATAGAGCTTAAAATGAGTTGATAAATCGAGAAATAAACATAATATAATACATTCACTATTAATTAATTAAAAGGGATTTATGATTTATTAAAAGAATTAAACTTTGTAGTATTAATCTAGACAGAATGTACGCTTAGGTAAAAACATGGCTACCTAATATTACTGGCCAGTTAAATTAAAAAATGATGCTTTTTTTTAGTTTTATACAAAATCGATTTTGTATAATAATGATAATTTTAAATAATAACTTAGACTCTATTTAATATAAAGATTTTTAGTCTTAATGTCTTTGACAATTCGTACGTAGGTAAAGAACGCAGAAATTAACAAAAATTACTATAATTAGCTAGCAATACTTTGGTACTAACTGATCCAATATATACCATGTCGATAATATTTTTGTGGTGGCTTTGAAACCTTGGTTTTGTAAATGAGAAGCTACTAGAAATGTATAAACAAATTAATAATAAGATATGTTTTGTCATTTTTAATTCATTAGCATCAAGTAATAATATATTTCTAGATATCGATCATATTATAGGAGCATATGCGCACTTTGATACGTTTTTACCTTCTTTGTGATCTTTTATATGTCATGATGCAATTTAAAAATTTGAAAACAAAACAAAAAATAATAATTTAAATATATTGTAAGTAAATATAGTATAAAGTGTAAATATAAAAAGTTATGACTAAGAGTGCATAAAAAAATAACCATACTTTTTGTAACTTTTCAGGCAACTTTTTCCAATTTTTCATTACGCAATCTTCTATTTAGAACAACATCTTATTTGTACATACAATACAAAAGCTTAAAAATATTTACCTCAAATTTCACATCGGCACTGTAATTGGATATCACCATTTGTTTAAGGTACTCAAACATGTGGTCACGGCATGTCTCCTCGCCTTTGGGTGGTAGCCAGCCGCGTTTAGGGTGGCAAAGGTAACCAGGTGGTGGCTCTTTCGCTAATAACTCTTCCACTTCGGGCAATTTTATATCGCACAACTGTAACAAGACGTGATGAATTCACAATAATACAACCATTTAATATCTAAAATTAATCATTTGACAAATAAAGCCAGTTTTAACAGTTTTTCTTTTTATGATATACTAGCTGTAACTTGTCGTAAGTTACAGTTAAGTTATGGGCCCTTACAATGGAATAAAAATTATCTGTGTTAATTCATAATTATTCTTATGAATCTTAGGACAATTTTATATAGATATGGTCCAAAGTACCAAATATTCAGTCATGTCGTGTAGTCCCGGAATGGAATGGGCCACTCCTTCCTTTTTCGTAGGTGCCGTCGACGGCGACTAAGGCAACTTAATGGTCGAAGAATGAGCAGCAGCGCCTCTTTTGAAATATCACCAAAGCCTGTGGTTGCCAACCCGTCTGCCAAGTGTGGCAACTATTGATAAAACCCCCTTAAGGGAGACGCCTAAGTTTAACAGTGGACAGTTAATGGCTAATATGATAATGATGATAATATTCAATAATTACAAACATGTAAGTGTTTTAACTTACTTTCAAATTTATTTACTTAACAAACAAACTCTCATTTATAATATTAGTAGTAGACGACGGTTACCATTTACCAATAGGTGGGCCAACAACTTACTTGTTAACCACTCATTTCTATAAAAAAAATATAGTCCCATTCTTACAAATCGAAATGTATATGCATTACGTAATAATATGTAACAAAACCACCACCTACCTGGTAATATACTTGGCGCTGAGACGGCGGTACACCAGGCCGGAAGTAGACGGTTGCTTCTGTTATTTCCTCGTTCGCGCTGGTATCACTGATGTTTCGATGTTTATGTTTGCTACGTACGCGGTCTGCTCTCTTGTACTGGGCGTGTTCACGCGTCAAGACCACAGAGTGTATGCCCACTGAAAATATGAAAACACCAATTTAGGCAAACAAAAAATATATATATATTTTTTTTTTAAGATGCATAAACCGACATTTAGGAATTTTAAATATCAGAATGAAGAATTTAACCTTATTGTACCATTAAACTACAGTAGAATTACAATAAAGGACAATTTAAAGAAAGATTTGAGCTTTTGTAGGCCGACTCAAATAAAATTAATTTTAGATTTGCACTTAGAACATAATGAGAAAATTTTGCCCACCAGAGATAAACCTCTATTTTACGTAGGACACAAATTAAATATGGTGAGATTTTATAATATATTGTAAATAGATAAATAGAATTTGACCATGAAAGCAATAGATCAACTACCTGTATGTCTAACCCTAAAATCCAATGATTGGTACATCCGAGCAGCAGGGTCCTTTCGGGGATCATAGCCATACTTGACCCACAGCATCTTCCAGGGTCCAGACTTCATATAAAACGCTAAACACGGCAGAATTATTTTCAATGAAGGAGTCCTTACTTTACTGTGATATTTCACTAAATTCATTGACCAAATAGGCCTCTCATCAAATAGCTGAAAGATAACATTTCATATTATAATACTTAAAAAATACTTTTATTTCATTTAAAGTTACTAATTAGTTTAACTGTAATTCTATATATTATTTTATTCTAATAAATATCTTTATTAATAATATACAATTAGAACCAAATATACATATTAAACATTTTTTAAGTAATATTATTGTTATTTAACCTTTCTTTATATAGTGGTGGTAACTTTTTAAATTTTTTATAAAAATTTTAATTTTACCTTTTGAACAAGGTCATATTCATTTTGTAGAGCAGGATAAGTTGACAATCTTTCAATTTTTTGTTTAACATAAAACTCTTGAGGTTCTGTAGGTAAGTTATCTATTAGATTAAATGGTACACCAGCTGTAGGCATTCCTCTCTCAAGTCTCAATCTATAGTGAAGATTATCCTCATTATCTGTGATTGCCTTCTTTTCCTGGTACCTTTTGTCTGTGTACATATAGCCTACTGGTTTATCAGATCTTGTGAAGTGGGATGGAACTATAAATAATTGTGAAGGTTCCCTATAAACAAAAAATAAATTATGAATACAATATAAATTATGAATAATAAACCCAAATACCTACCTAGTTGTTTGTATGCACCTTTGTCTAAAAACTATTATTACATATTCTTATTTAAAAAAAATTAAATACAGCAGTAAAATTTACACTTAAAAAATTAAATATTTCTAACATAAATTCATTCTCCTAAAAAATATCAAATGCTATGTTGTGTATTTATTATTTATTTATTATTATTATTTATTATATATAATCCAGGGGTAGAAATAAAAAAAAAACAATTACTACTTACGACATAAAACCAGTGTCTTCTAGGCCTGTTGGTAACAACTTCTCCAATACACACTGACCCTGACTAGACCCTGGCTTTTCCTCTACAGGAAGGTATTGAAAGTCACACATGGCTGTAAGTGAAAGAAATATAAAGCAATTAGTGTATATAACTACATATAAGTATAATAACTACAATATTGTGTACTATTTTTTTTTAAATAGTATTATTCCAGGATTTTCTGATTATTGTTATACTTAACCGATTTTTCCATAACACATTCTAATTTATTTAAATTAATAGGTTATGAACACATTATTTTTTTCTAAGAGTTCCAATAATTGTATTCATGACTTAATCTTCAACCTAGGATATCCTGAGTTATGAAGAACCAAATAATGAATATCTGGGAAAACAACCAAGAACACCCAGATCTAAACAAATTCAGGAAGGGTCTTTTCCTAAATTGGATAGACCAGGATCGAACCCGGAACCTCATCAATGCAATGTGACACAGTTGATCTTGGAGGTAGTCAACTTCTTCGATCATACATAAATTATGTATATTATGTCTATAAATAATTTTATTATAGTGTAATTATGAATATGACATTATATTATACTAGTTAAAAAAAAATTATGACAATTTAAAAATTTCACCAAGTACTATCAAAACTACATTATTACAGTTTATTTTATACATAACATTTGAAATTATGGAAATTTTGTGTATTAAATTTATTAAAGTGTAATAAAGAGAGTATGTACACAAATAACTTGTAAAACAGTATCATAGATATAGAAAATATTATACAATATATAGACTACTAACATTCAAATTTGAAGATTTTGCTCACTCGCCCAACAATTGCTGTAGACATAACTTCTCTCTTTACTTCATTGTTTTCTATGGTTTTTTTCACTCTAACTTTTATCACAACACCAGCTGTGGGTTTTTCATCTGCATATATTTTCTTTACATAGGGATTATCTGGTTGGAAGCACAGTCCTAAGCGCTTTTTAGTGGGATGTGAATATACCTGTAAAGATATAAATTATATTTAAAACAACAACAAAATCTAATTCAGTTTAAAAATTTAAGCAAGTAAATCATAAAAATTCTGCTAAATTCTAGCTATACAGCGATTTATTGAGTACAACCATGGATTTCTTGCAAATTCCTTAATTGCACCTTTAATTTGTTCAATTTTTACCATCCAAGTGGTTAGGTTAAGTGGTAAGGTTGCTTATTTACTTTAACAAGTCTTAAAGTAAATAAACAACCTAAATATTTTTTTTTTGATGAGTGAAAATGATATAGTAAGCCCTTCTGCGCTAACGGTATATGCTTGCGGAGCAGCAGCAGTGAAGGGTGATAGATGAGAATGAAAACAGGCCCGTTAGCCCATCATGATGAATTTATCAGGAATTAACCATGATAGTTTCCAGGGAGAACTGCAAAGAGGTCGACCTGGTTGGGTATATTGCTAGCAATGGGATTCTCAGTCTCCATTACTAACAATCCCTTTCCCCCCCCCCTAAATATATTTGGACCAGAACTTAGCAACTTCCATAGCGCAGTTGATTGCCTTGTTCATATCCCCTTTAATGCAAGATTAAGAACACAATGGACAAGACAGAAATTGAGACATAGTCTGCAATTACAATCCAAGTCACAGTTGAAACATTTGTATGTCTAAAAAAGCTCCTATGACTTTTTAAGGAAGCATTTGGTAATAAATGTTTGTATAGAGAAAGTCGAACATATGTCCCCTTTTTCTCTTTTTTGATTTTACACATGTTGCATACCTCTGACAAGGCAATTCCTGCGAGCGAGTACAATGTATAGAAAAGTCTAGGTTTCAAGCAGCCAGTTATAATATCACATGTTTCATTTAATACAACATTGACACAGAAAGCTAATGCTAGACCAGGGATATGAAGAATGTACAGTCCAAGATGTGGATATTAGGCATCTTTCTTCATTCTTCTTGTTATACCTATTTGTTGTTTTACATTGAGGCAGTGAGTTTTTTATGTGAGTGGCCTATCTAGAGTAATACCCAGATAATGGAAACTAGCACACTGTTCAACTTGCATACTTCATCAGGAAATATTAAATGTTAATTTTGCCTCGGATTTCATAAGTGGACAATGCAGAACAAAGGTTTAGATGGATTAGGCCTGAGAGTACTGTTGTAAAAGTATCCAGTACATGAAATACTAGTTTTCTTCAGCCTTCTCAAAAGTTCAGATTTGAACTGCTAATGCTAGGTCGTTGGCACTGCCTGCCACTGCCTGCATGTGGCAAAGTCAATATTTTAAAAAATCGTTATAAAGTAGATATTTTCCATTCCGTCATTAATAACAACTAAACAACAACAACCGTTCCTAAGAGTAGACATTGACATAAGATTTTTTTTATACTTTAGAATAGCAAACAAGCTGACGGCCTATGTGATGGAAAATGGTAACTGTCGGCTATAGACATGAATATGGGTACTTAGGTAAGAGTATGTCTTCTAGTATATTGTTAAATATTATAAATAAAAATACAAACCTGTGATATATTTTTGATGCCACCCAGGCATCTCAAGGCTTTTTCATTATTTTTCACGATCCCTGGAAACTGTATACATACTAATTCCCTATTTGAGTTATCAGTTTCCATATTTTCAATTTTCCATAGAAAATTTAGTTTTAACCACCGACTTACAACTTTACTTATCAATATTTTATGAAAGCGTGATACCCATTGTATGTTTTGACTAAATATATATTTTAATACTTTAACTATTTATATTAATATAACCAAACAAATAACACGGTAAACAACAAAATAGAACACACTTTTGAAATATTTCCATATGGCAGATGTCACCACAAATTAATGTCACCGCTAAGTCTAAAGATCTATCAGTCATCCACGGTTGCCAGATGCTATTTTTTATTTTTACCCAACTGTCAAATATTTTTTCGCCTATAAGATTACCTTTTTTACTCAATTTCAAACTGTAACGAATTTCACTACGTTTTTTCATGAATTGTGATTTATGATCAAACGTAGTGAAAATGATAAAGCAAACAACGAAAAAAAAAAAAAAAAAACTGCAGTTGTATGTACATTATACAAGAACTTCATATCTCCAAAAAATAAATGGCAACGCATAAAGGATATGAACGACACAGTATACTTTACCTGTCCATGGTAATATTCATGTCTATAGGCGACGGTTACCAGTATCCGTCAGCTTGTTTACCATTTTAAGATGTATAACAAAAATTAACGAGCAGAAACATTTTTACACAATTACCCATTAATTTTATTGCATAAATTACGAATATTATCAAATTTTGATTAATTAATCTGAAAAAAAAAATAATACGAATTTGATATGTAAATACTTTTTATTTGATATTGATATAGATAATATCACAAATATTACTGAAATAACAAGAATCGGCATCGTGGGAGTACTGTTTATGATAACATCTTTAGCAGTTACTATACTCTCTAGACCAGCCTTTCCCAAATTGGGCGATAACGACCCCTTGTGGGCGCTACAAGCCTAAAGGGGGGCGGTAAGAGACCCAGAAAAAAATGAGGGCGTTGTGTAGAGGTTCGTATAGAATTAATGTTTAATTTCCGCAAATATAGCTCACAATAATTAATTTAATTTGAAGTAATAGTGATTTTTAAGTAAGTGAAAAAATGGGAGCGCTAAAAAATAAATTATTCTCAAAGTGGGCAGTAGACAAAATAAGTTTGGAAACCCCTGCTCTAGACTGCTATAATCGCTTAAGATCAAACAGGCCGTATATTTGTTTGCCACATGGTATTAAAAACAGAAATGTGTAGGTACTCACTTATACCTAAAAATCTATCTATATCTAATATCTATACCTAAATATTGAACTTCCATTGCTAGTAATACACGTTCTGTCAGATCAACTTCCATATGGACCTCTTAGAAACCATCGTGCTGAATTCCAAGTGTATTAATCACGATGGGTTTATTGACCTGCCTTTTCATTCTCATCTGTCATCTCTCACTGGTGCCCCACCAGCATATACCATTAGTGCAGCCCCCCCCCCCCCCCCCCCCCCCCCCCCCCCGAAAACCATTATTCCTGTTATATTCATACAATTATATCAAAAACTGTACCATTATAACTTGTACAGTATGATATAGTTTAAAGAATAATATTCTGAGATAAACATGTGTGGGCAGGTAACAGGTGAATAAGGAATACTATGGACAACCCACCAAACCACCATCTATATCTCAGGAATTAATAAGAACACAATTTAACCAATGTTCTGGATTGTGTAACTATCCATACATTTTCATGAAATGTATTGTCTCTGGCAATAGCTTGTAATTGAATCAAGAGACTAAAATTTGCGATAGTCATTATAATATGTTAAAATGTATGTATTATCGATGTACCACTGCTTCAACTGCAACCAGCAGTCTGAAAACAAAGATAACATTTGAAGATACAATTTAGATAAAATTACATGTATAATAAGTAGATATAAAAATAAATTACTTTTCTAACAAAAGATTCCGTTGCCTTTCAATTTCGAGCCTGTCCTTTTCCATTTTCAGTCTGATATTATTGCATCTCTTTTTTTCTAAAAGTTTCTGTTTTTCAATTCTTATTCTCTCTTCTTCTAAATTTAAAAGTCGGTCATGAACTAATCCTAGAAAACAGAGAAATTTAAAATATAATTAAGCTTACTACTACATGTAAACACCTAATATTTAATAATTCTAATACAGTTACACTATTTGATACAATTCCATATGAATATATTTCAATTGATTATATATGATGTCATATTATATCGAGTAGCTATTTTTACTTCCTTAACATTCTCTTAAAGTACCGATTACACAGTTTCATATCTATAAAAGCTAGAGCTAGAAAATGAATTAATTTTATATGAATTTGTTCAGCCATGTAACTTCATATTAAATGTGTCCGAGCACTCAGTGTGTCAAAGCATCACTATATTTTGCCATATGTACCTATTTGTGGTTTTATGTGTAAAATTATTAAAGAAACATCTGCAGTAACTGTGTTGTGAAATTACTTAGGATGATGTCATTAGTTTATTTACAAAATAAACTTCATAAATTTTAAGAGTGTGAAGCATGTATATAATCCATCATAACTTGTCATTAAATGTAGTTACACTCACTGACTGGCCGTCCCCTTTTCCATAAAGGTTTCCCACTGGCAGGTGCTGATGACATCTCAGTAGATCCCATCCCAATATCTGAGTCTGTATTAATACCATCTTCAAGACTTATTCCAATATCTGTCTGTGTGTAATGTTGTGGATCCGTCGACCATTTCTAGACAAATTAAATAGTTTATTGAGTAGACATTCAACTAGCAATTTGATATTAAAACATTGAAATTAAGTAAAAATATTGCTACCATAGTGCTTGTAGATGGGTCTTCATTGCATATATCATCATTCACATTAGCCTGTGTTACAGTCTGAAAAATCAATAAATATATTAGAACAGATTATTATATTATAAAAAATATATTCATGACTGCAATTCCATATGGAGTAGTCAGAGGCATTTGTTAAAGAAACAAAAATTTTAGTTAAGATTTAGCTGTTATTAATGTCATTGTTTATAAAAATATTTAAGATTTTTCTCATTTACATTTATAAAGAAGCACAAATAACAATTAACATGTCACTGAATGATGTCAATGAAATTATTTATTTTTATTCTTTTTTTGTAAATTTTGTATTAAAAATACAAACCAGAGTGGTATCCATCAATTATAGGCATGTACAATATGAGCATTAGCACATAGGACCTCTTATAGTTACCACTTTTCTTTTTTTTAATGGATGAAAATGAAATAGTGAACTTTCTGGTGCTATCAGTTTAACATGACACCAGTGACTGATGATAGGTGAGAATAAACTAATAAAGTCAGATCAGTTAGCCATACTGACAAATTTAGCAATAATTAACCACAATAGTTTACAGGGGTAACTGCATGGAGGTCGACCTGACAGGGTATATTCTAGCAATAGAGCTGTTAAGCTCCATTGTCAACAATCCTAATATGTTTTGTCTCCATGCTATGTAATTTTACTTGTAATTTATTTTTCAATTGTGATAGCTATGATAAGGGACAAAAAGTAAAGCCATAATGCAACTAATTATTGTTTAATGGATTACTCAAAATCTAATGGTAGTATTTACAGTTTGGTTTTCTTATCCCACTTTGTACTTTCTCATAGGTGTTGTATAAGGTGACTAAGAGAACTTAATGGTTAAAGGATGGGCAGCAACATCCCTCTTCTAAATACCACCAATCTGCTAGCAAACCCCCCCCCCCCCCCCAGTAGATAGAGGCCAATGTTCAGCAGTGGACAGTTAAAGGCTGATAAGATGATGATGATTATCATACTTTATATATATTTTTTATATTTACCATTGAGTTACTAGCAACAGCTGATGTTTCAGGTACACCAGTCAATCCAAATACAGAGATATTTGTACAAATTAACCTTAGTATCTTCTCTTCAGCCTCTGTTAATTGGGTGTTAGCATTACAACCAGGTGTAAAGCGATTCTTTCGTATCCTAAATGCTTTCTTTTTCACATTTGATTTCCAATCTCTCCATGTCTAGATATTGATAAAAATACAAAAGTATTATGTGACAGCAAAAATAAAGAAATTACAAATCTTTAATTGGGGTATGATAAAAAATAAAATATTAATTTATAACCTCCTGTTAATGTTATACAGAATAAGTAAGAATTTTTCAATATTTTTCTATCTTCATGTTTCTATTACATGAAAACTACTGTGTAAATATTATTGCTTTCCATTAGCTTGTTTACTATATTAAGTATCCTAAAAATCTCCTAGTAAACATTAAAAATAGGGAATGATATTTTAAAAAATATTTACACCCTGAATACATACTATTACTAATATTTTTCGCTTGTGCAGTCTTTTTCTGTTATTATTCCTTGTTTTTATGGTAATTGATTCACATAACAAATAAGAACATGAAATCAACGTTTGCAAAGTACCTGCTGCCATTTATCTGGTGTTTTAATTGCACCAGATCCAAAGCCTGAGTTAGCATTAAGTTTTTCTGTAATTTTAATCCAAGCATTTGTTTGACGTATCCTGCCCTCGAGTCCTGTAAATTTTCCAATAGCTAGTTCCTTATCTTCCTCTAAAAAATGTAAAAGCATATTCAATTGCTCTGGACTCGCTTTGCGTCTTTCCATATTAGGTTTATTATAATTGAAGATAGATACAGAACAAAGCTCACAAATAGTTTCAAAATAAGTTTTAGTAATTTCATTCAGTGATATTCATCATCATTATTATTCATTATGTTTAAATTGCTTAAATAGCCCTCATTTACATTCAATCACTTCAATGCATAAAAACTGTTTACTTTTTTAGTGACATTTAAATAAAGTTTTGAGAAATTACTAAAAACCACAATAAGTACCGCAAAAACAAAACAAAACAATCTTGCAGAACCAATCATCAACAATCTTCTATTTGAATTTATTTCATTTGCCGTCAGTCAATGTCAATCAATCACAAACCTTTTTTTTTAATATGTTTTACGGCTCTGGATATAAATTCCATGAGTCCGAACAATCACAAATATTAGCCGTAGGGTTGTCAGACGATATTTAACATTTTTACCCATATCTTAAAAACCTATATATTTTATTTTAAAATTTGTCATTGGCAAATAATTGACATATCAAACATTTTCTATACACTAACCGGCTATGAATCCCATTGCTAGCAATATACCCAACCTCGACCCGGTCGACCTCCTCGCGGTTCCCCCTGGAAACTATCATAGTTAATTCCTGATGAATTCATCATGTTGAATTAACTGGCCTGTTTTCATTCTTATCTATCACCCTTCAATGGTGCTCCGCCCGTTAGCGCAGGCTTGATTACCATACCATTCTCACTCATCAAAAAAACCTGCTATGGGGAGAAAGGATTGTTAGTAATATGGGCTACCAGTCACATTGTAAACAATTTTCCCTATCAAGTCGACCTCCATGTGGTTCCCCCTGGAGACTATCGTGCTGAATTCCAAATGTATTCATCACGATGGGCTAACTGACCTGCTTTTTCAGAGGGGAAAGGGATTGTTGGCAATGGAGTTTGACAGCTCAATTGCTAGCAATATGCCTATTAGCAAGACCTCCACGTGATTCCCCCTGGAAACCATCGTGAACAATTCTTGTTGAATTCGTCACGATAGGCTAACTGGTCTGCTTCATCCTCACCTATCATCCCTCACTGGTGCCCCGCCAGCGTATATCGTTAGCGCAGGCGGGGTTACCATTCCATTATTATCCATTGAAAAAACTTGCTATGAACTGAGAAAAATAACAACTAATGGTGTATGTTTCGTCCTCTTTTTACTAATTACATTTGCATAAGAAGAAACGAGACAACTATATGATTTACAGTTTTTATTATTGCTTCTACGTAGATTGTTCTTAGATGTAAAATACTGTGAACGTTATTTTTTTAATATTGGCAAAGGGCTGGTAATGTAAAGTAATGTAATAGACAATTGTGTTAGCTAAAAATTGCACAATATTTGCTGTTTATTAAGTATTTAGCAATTAGGAAGAAATCTTGTTATATAATACAATCTTTTTACTGTTAAAAATCGCTTGTGAAATATTTGTATAGCATTATGTTAAAAGTACACTTTGTGTTAAAAGCACTTCTTTGTGACAAATAGCGATATTTTCAATCAAATGGCAATAGTGGCAAGTTAATAGTGGTAGTTCCTAAGTTTTCGCATTAAAAAATTGCACAGTATATAGATGTACAAGGACATGCTATTCTTAATCTATGACTACCTATAGAAGACAAAAATAAATATTATAAATAGCGGGAGTTTTGACTTTTAATTAGTTGATTAGCGCATCGATTTTAACATTCATCGGGGTGTTTGATTGATTTATTATTTCAAAACACAATGCAAGAAGATAAAAATGCAATTTTCCAAATGCGATTCCCACAAAAATTGTGGTATTTGTTAAACATGCGTACAGATGCTATACTATGGGGTGGAACAGGACGAACTATCTTACTAAATTATCGAATCCTCCACAATTATCTTCAATGTGATTATTCCATTTTTAAAACAACAAATATATCTAGTTTCGTGCGGCAATTGAATTTATATGGTTTTCGTAAAGTTACCTCACACTTGCAAGATCCATTATGCAACTCTAGTAATCCCTATATGCATGAGTATGTTCATGATTATTTCCAGTATGGAAGACCAGAAATGCTGAATAAAATAACAAGAAAAGCTTTAGCGATGAAAAAAAACTTCAAACCAAAGGTATTTTTCCCGAAAGTGTTCTTATGACATTTTCCTAAATACGTAAGTACCAAGCGGTGTATTGTCGTTGTAAATAATTAGACATTGGTATGGATAATAGAATGTTAGAAACCATAATATATATACATATTTACATTATTATATATTTACAATATGAAATATAATTTACGGTCGTTTATAGCCTTAATTTTTTGCTCCGCAACAAAAAGCAACTTTTATCGTAACACAACAAATACAGGGGTATTTTGTTATGATAGAAGTCGCTGTTTTGCGGAGTAAAAAATTAAGATTTTGGTGAATAGATCTACAAACTTATCTACCGATTAATAATAAGCGTTTCATTGTTTATCTTGTATCTAATTTATTGCAGTTATATGGGTATGTTTGGGTCCGCAAAGAAACGGCGACATTAATGGTAACAAAAGAAAAATATCTTGTCATTTATCAGTAGGTCATTTATCGTAAGGGGGAGGAGGAGCTGGCTGGTGGGTTGTTCCTATCACAGGATTAGGAGTACAGAGACCAGATCCCCTGGAAAATAATCTTAAATACGCCAATACATTAGTTCGTCGGAATGTCAAGATATACATATCTGTCACGCCTATCTACCTATTGGGAGATTTGTTCTTACCATGATTAAAACGCCCTTTTTTGCGGAATACAAAGTATATATGTAACTAAAATGAACTAGGTACAACATATAAAACGCAAGATTGTTCATAGATATACTAGATTAAATATTTATGTATATAGAACACGATACCTACAATTGGATTCTTTAGAACGAAAATCGATAAAGCTTAACTTTTTAGTTCTTATTCTAACTAGTAAGACGCGCCGTAAAGATTACGCGCGCGCTACTGTTAAACTTAAGCGCCTACAAACTCAAACCCGCACCACAAAAAAGGGTTCACGATGATCACATAACTACCTGAACGTTATTTTTAAAAATACACGTAACTCAATACGAATATTCTTATATTTAAAATAAAATGTATGTTAAAATGTTTCCTCCTCAAATGGTTTAGTTTCCCTAGTAAAAGGATGAAAAAAATTGCTTTATAGGTACCTTATTTTGTTTTTTTTTTTTATGGAAGATAATGGAATAGTAACCCCGCCTGCGCTAACGGGATACGCTGGCGGAGCACCAGTGAAGGGTGATAAATGAGAATGTAAACAGGCCCGTTAGCCCATCATGATGAATTCATCAAGAATTAACCATGATAGTTTCCAGGGAGAACCGCGTGGAGGTCGACCTGGTTGGGTATATTGCTAGCAAGAGGATTTTCAGTCTCCATTACTAACAATCCCTTTCCCCTCTAAAGCAGGTTAGTTAGCCCATTGTGACGAATTTCACAAGAACTAACCACTATGGTTTCCAGGGGAACCACGTGGAGGTCGACCTAAATATACCCTATATTGTTAGTAATGGGGCTGTTAGATCCCATTATTAACAGTAACTCCCTCCCCCCTTATTTTGTGTAGGTATACATAACTATGCTTAAGACTTCACCATTTCATAAAGTACCTATATATAAACAACGGTTTATAGTCTTTCTACGGGGGAACAGAACAAATGCTTTATCTTACTCCTCTTCAAAAAGCTCGACGCGCCTTCCGGGAGGCACTAAAAAAAGCAGCTCAAGAAATGTGTATGCAAAATTCTCCAGGACAATTTTGTAATATCAGGTTTGAATCTGAAGGTAAGAAATAAGTGTAGAGTATATTGTATGATATATATATATATATATATATATGTTTTATAAAAACAGGAATAAAAAAGTAATATATTTCGTATGTATTTTCTTTCCCACCAAGGAGTACAAGTGCAAGTGCAAAGGGTTGCACCCAGCTGCCGAAATCCATTATAACTAGCTTAATTTTCTATGGCCCGCTGACGAAATTACTAATCCGTTATTATTCCGCCCCTAGCATGAAATGCTTATATTTCTTTCCATGGGTTATACAAATATACAAAATAAATCGTATTCACATCATCCATCATTTTAAGCATAATAACTATTTTTAGATGGTCAAGAGGACTACTGTGAAGATGAAGAAAATATGGAATTTGATTGGTTTATTATGAAAAATGCCCATAAAAATCCAGAAGATTCCCCTCAATCAGGTTACTTCCTTAATCCCTACTTCCTTGTGTATATTATTTTGATCTTAACTTTGTCATTATCCTTTTATCCTTCCTTCTTCTAGCAACTGGTGATAGTAATGACAATTTGATCAGCAATGAGACCTATGAGTAAGTCAATCATTATGATACATTCCATTATTGGCGTTACTTAAAAGATGACAGTTATTGGTATAATTATCTTTAATTGTAGTGCTCAATTTGCTTTATACACACTAGCCTTTACCTGTGACTTTGTCCGTATGACTGGAATATACACTAACTGGGATAAAAGTAGCCTTCTTCATGTCATATATGTATACCAATTTTTTTTAATAATTAGTTAAACCATTAAGGCACTAACAGGTAAAAAACAAACAAAATCCTTAATTTTACATTTATAATATTACTAATGATTATTGTGCCTATAAAACCTTTTTTCAAAGTACTAAAAAATGAATTAACTTAATTTTTTCATATTCTTTATAGTCATAACATATAGTAATTTTTTCATATTACATATATATTGTGACCACAGAAATTCATCACAAGAGAGTTTGATGCAATTTGAAGATGAATCCTGTCAACAGAACAATGATATATTCCCAGTTAAGTTTTTGAGTATGCCAGAACTAGATTCTGAACCGGTTGAGGCAAACACAAATGTGGAATTGTTAGCAGGGTTTGATATTGAAGGTGATAATCAACAAAATATAGTAAAAATTGTGGACAACAAAAAGGATGAACATAATTCATTAAATTGTGTACTACCATCCATAAGTAATGACCCAAATGATGTAACTATGACTTCAATGACAGAGGTGATTGTTTATATTTTTAGTAAAATTAATTATGTATCTAGAAAAAAAAATCTACAGCTTCATTCACTTGGATAGGATATATATTCTATAGGATTATGAGTGAATAAAGCTAAAAAAGTTGTATGAATAGGAGTTACATATAGATTTCCAAAGATTTAATCATAAATGTTTTTAAAATATTCTACAGACAGAAAAGACCAGGGCTACATAATTATATATACATCTGTCACTTACAAATTTTATATCAAAAGTATAAAATATTTCAGAAAAAAAATGATGATTCAAATCATTATCACGGTGAATGGGATCAGATGTTCAATGATATAATTACTTGTAAGGGCCCCAACCAAGAATGTGGCTCTGAATTGAAAGAACTATATTCCCAAATTTCAAGAACAATAGATTTACTTAATTCTTAGTTCATTAGATAATTTTATTTCTGTTTCCAGCAATAAAACAATTTAATTATTTGAAATGTATTCCTTAACATACCATGTTAAAAGAGAGAACTGAAATTATAATATATAATTAATATTATTTCTTCTGTTTTTTCTTCTCTGCCTCCTCTTCCTTCTCTTTCTCAATAACAGACACATAAGAATTGATGGTATCAGAGTCTAACATTTGCATAGGCTGACCACGTCTCATTACAGCTATTTCTAGATTCTTTTGTCCAGATTGAACAACTTCAAGGAGAGCCCGAATTGCAAGCTGTAAGAAAAAAATTACATTAATTAATCAGATTTTTCAAGCTATTTGAATGTTTATGTCGCTGTCATATAAAAATGTTTGTCTCTACAGCCCTTTTCTATACCTTCTAGTCACTAAATTAAACAGATTGCTAATTTATCAGTTTTATTTTCATACTAAACAAACATTTGATGGATGTAAACTAATATGTGCACAAATAGATGTTTATTGTCATTAATACTTAATATCCCCAACTTTAAATTCTAGGTATTTAACATAATTTTTTTTTAAAGTTGATTATCCCATATGTACAAAATAGCAGTACAAAGATTACTATTATTTAAGGTATTAAATATGAAATGAGAAAAATTTGTTTAGAATGAACAGTTGCGATAAAATGAAATATGAAAACAAACATTACCTTCACTGCACCTTTTTCTGTAGCGACTTCTTCAGCAGTATAATTTTTTTCCAAAAACTCTCGCACTGTCTTAGCTGACCTACCAGTTGCATTGGCTTTCCATTCATAGTAAATACCTGATGGTTCTGTTTGGAACAAATGAGGTAATCCATCATAATCAAATCCTCCGATCAAACATGAAATACCAAAAGGTCGACGTCCATTGCTTTGAGTATACCTTTGCTTCAGGCCAGCAATGTATCTTGTTATGTATTCTAATGTTACAGGATCTTCAACAGTAAGTTTATGAGACTGACATTCAATTTGTGCTCTATTAATAAGGATCCGAGCATCTGCCGTTAAACCAGCAAAAGCCATCACGACATGATCGTCTAGGAGACATATTTTACGAACAGTTCGCTCTTCCTGTAGCTTCGCCACTGATTTCTTTTCAACGCCCAATACGACGACATCAGCTCCTCTTACACCAACCTAATGATATATAAAAAAAATGAAATTAATAAATATGCTTTGTAATGACTCAAATTACTATAACCAAATATCAACTTACAGCGGTAGATCCCTTACGAACAGCTTCTTGTGCATATTCTACTTGTAACAAATGGCCATCCGGCGAAAATACTGTAATCGCTCTATCATATCGGGCCGACATAATGCTTTTTTGTTAGTCGAATTAAATTGGTAAAATTAATGTCTATAAAGAATAAACTTGCGTTTTATTGCTGTCATGACTTAGTGTTGTATTCACATCTTCTAAATGTCAATTTTCCAATTCGATTAGCAATACAGTTAAATCGATATTTTGTAAATATATTTGTATTTTTATAGTATTTGCGTCATAAATTGACGTGACAGATATTTGTATAATATTTATACCAATATTTATTCAAAATAAAATAAAAATTTGTAATAAAATTAATTATAAAAACAATATCCAAATCAATTATTACAATTTAAAAATAGTAAAAATGAACATAATTACGTAAGTTATTAAGTAAATACAATATGTTAAAATAAACGTGACAAGCTATTATTAATATAAGTTGCAATAACCATGAAAATAAACATGTATCTTTTTATTTTTTTTTTTTACGCAATTACCTATTCACTTTTTCTATCTCTCCTTTAAAGCACATAGACCGTTGCTAAAAAATTCTTTCTTAGTGTCAAAATAGGCGTTATAATTGTACTTCTCATATTTTATAAAACAATTTCGATCTTCCAACTGGTTTTATGAACAAAAAGCAGTTAGATGGTTTTATATAAGAGGATTAAATATTAGAGGAAAATAAATAACAGGAATCGAGTGATGTGTTTAGTAGCAAGATAATTTTATTAAGGTATCAATTCAGTAACTGACAGGTACAATAAAAAAACTAACTACCAAGAAGTATTTATATTAAAACAGATGGTGCCAGATCAAGCGAACAAGGCTGATGCGGTAACAGTTCAAATTTACAGTCGTGAATTTCAATTATTGATTGTATAGATATGTAAACACAGTCATTATTTTGACGTAATGGGACTTTTTTTCATTCGTAGATGTTTTTCTTTCATTTTCTTATGTAAACGACGTAAAAAGATGTACCTAGGTACATCTTTATTATTTATATTTATATATTATTATTTATATATTAATTGAAGTATATGATCTGACTTTTTTCAGGTTAATCAATTATAATTATATCTTCGAGTCTCAAAATACTGGTCATCACTTTTTTTGTTGTTTGAACTCAATAATGTGGATGGTTTTGATTTTAAGAATTTAATAGATCTGTCTCAGGTTAGTCAGTTTCAATCAACCCTTGTATTACATAAATAAATATATGTATGAATTCTTTATTTACTAAACATTAGTGATTGCTAGTACCTGATTTTAAAATTAATTACAATTGTATAGCAATATTTATCATTATATGGTGTGTAAATATTATTTTTGCTAATAATAAAATTCACCAATCATATAATAATATATATTAGCTAAACTATTGGATGTTCAAACGTCCATCCATTATCATTGCTTTAGTTATAAATAACAGCATTTATATTATTTTGAAATAGAAAATCAAAATAATTTAAATTTTCGTTTAAATCAATATTCATATATAATATTATGTTTAATCAATGTAGCACATCCCTTTAATCATGACATCGAAAATTTCAAGTTAGATTTCGTTCAAAAACTGAAATACACTCATACGCGAATTAAATAGTTTTGCTACGCTTATGAGTATTTTATCTAATATTATTTTGAGATTTGATTTGTATAGCCAATCGATTAATAGTAAAAAAATAATGTTTCCATGTAGAAAATATTAGATATTTTATTATAGTCGGGATAATTAAATGAAAATCTCAAGGTTGCTCGAAATACTGAAAGGAATAATATCCGCATTTTTATTGTTTGCATCCTCTATGTCTGTATTTTTCAAAATGTGGGTCTTAATCTCCTGAAGGGGTCTCTAAGTTTCTACAAGGGAATTGCGAAAGGTCACAACGCATGTATTTTAGCTATTTAGCTCTACTATTGTCGTATCGTTTTTCCATGGATGTTTTTTGCAACGTAATCAATGTCTCTGTTTTAGATACTTCATTATGTATTATTTATTTTCTTGTATTTAACCGATACCTAATTATGAAAACAAATAAAAATGTACGGTTTTGATATTTATAATATAATAGAATATATTTGAAGGTTTGGAAACGTGGAGAGTAAGGGTCACAAAATATTGTTATAGATTAAAGGGATTGCGCCATGAAAATTTTAGAAAAACACTGCTTAATGACATTTAAAAATAAATAGTGTCAACCTTACTACCAAGTGTGATTTTTTTAATCTGTGGTGTCATTTGAAAAATATGGCGGCTGTGCTCGATTTTGAGCCGTGGCTTATTAATAAATTGAAATCTTTAAAAACTGATGAGAATGTATTTGGGTCATATATATCAGGCATTTTGGATAGTGAAGATTCTGTGGATGACAAAAAAGATGCATTGGAAGGTATACTAGCGGAGATTGTGGTAAGTTTTCTATAGGCATGAGATTGATCGTGCGGTCTGTATCATTAATCACATATTTTATAAATTTAACAGGAAAGTGATATTTCTGTCCATGTAAATGAGATAATAGAGAAATGGGAATCCTCTAGGCCTAAAGAAGAAGCCCCTAAACCAGTCACCGATGTGGACTTACAATTAGCCAAATTATTAGAATCTCAATCACTTGCCACTACAACGCGGCGTGAATACACAGACGAGGAAAAGAAAATACGTGAAGCTATTTTGTCACAGTATAGTCAACTGTCTGACAATGAGGTATTGTTTCAATTGAGCTTACATTTTATGTTCATCAGATATATTTGTTTTTATCTCCATGCTTTTAATGATTCTCAATGACTTTGTAAGATTGTACATGGCAAATAGGGAACTTATTTATTTATTATCTTCTAAAAATGGTTGTGGATATATTAGCAATTGGCTGTTGCCCGTGACTTCGTCCATGTTTTCAATATTTTTCCTAAAATAAGTAGCCTCTGTCCTTCCTCACGATTCAGTGGTTTTGATGTAACAGACACATTTCCTTTCACTGCTCTGCTCCTATTGATCGTAGCGTGATGAAAAATATACTGTAATGTAATGTAATGTAAGAAAGACTCTGTTTTCCGCACTTAGCCTCTCATTTGGGCCGTTGTGCGTGTGAGTCGTGGCTAGTACAGCCAACCTAGCTCCGCCCAGAAGCGCAGAAGCTTCCTGGGTTCTTCACAGGCTTCACGGAGCGACCTCACCGTTCCGAGGATTTCTAAACGTTGATGGGCCACAGCCTCACATTCCAGGATTACGTGAGCAGCCGTTTCTTCAGCGTCGAAACAGCCTCGACATAGAGGGCTGTCTGTGGCTCCTATTGTGTATAAATGTTTGTTTAATGGACAATGACCCGTTATTGTCCCTATCATTATTTTGAGGTTTTTTCTATCTAGATGTAATAAACGTTTTGATAGTCGTTGATTCAACGTAGGTACGGCCAATTTTGATTGTCTGCAATCAGTAGCCTGTATCCATCTTTGGTTTTGTATGTCAGCGGATCTTTGACGAATCCACATTCGAAATTGCGAGAACGGAAGAGGAAGAAGTGGATACGGGCCTACCACCCTCGTTCCTGAGCCTCTTCTAGCCAGTTCGTCTGCGGCATCGTTACCATAAGATCCACTGTGCCCTCTTATCCATTGGAGGATAACTCGGTTATTGGAAGATATCCTATCCAGTGAATGGTGGCATTCAATTATCAATTTGTTGTTTGTCTTGTTGTTTCGTAATGCTTTTAGTACTGCTGCGCTGTCAGATAAGAATCTAATGCTAAAACCATTTATTCCTAGCTTATGTACAGCTGCAGCAGCCTCGGTTATTGCAACACATTCGCATTGGAATATTGAGCTGTGTACGCCAAGCGGTATGTGCACGTTTATATTCAGGTCTAAGGAAAAGACTCCGGCTCCTGAACTGTTCTCGGTTTTGGAGCCATCGGTGTATATGCGTAATTCATGTACACCGGATTGGTCCTTTTCCTCTTCTTGAATTTGTATTTGGTATTTTTTGTTAAATATATAATGATTATGAGTCCTGTCACACGGAGCCGCAATCAAAGGTTCATATTCGATTGCCTGGTTCAGAATAGAAGTGTGGGGACTGTAGTGATTTTTACCCCATAGATCCAGATGCATTAGTCGGATAGCGGCTAACGCCGCTTCCTGCTGTATGTGCAGGTCTAGGGGTGTTATGTTGAGGGCCAACTCTATTGCTGTTGTAGGAGCTGTTTTCATGCAGCCGCTGACAGAAGAAGAAGAAGAGCAAAAGTATACTATAACCTACAGGCTCAGGAGTATGAAGAATAATTGTACCAAGTTTCGTTAAAACCCGTCAAGTAGTTTTTGTTTCTATAATGAACATACAGACACAATTAAACATTTTACTGATTGCATTTTTGGCATCAGTATTGATCACTAACTATCCCCTGATAGTTATTTTGGAAATATATTTCATGTACATAATTGACCTCTCTACAGATTTATTATAAGTATAGAATAGATAGATTACCTGTGGTCTTACATTAATTGTTTATACAATAATCTAGAATATGTTCATGTTTGTACTAAATTTCATTTCTTCTTCTTTTTAAAAAAAATGGATTCCACTGTTAAAGTTATATATATATATATATATATATATATATATTTATTTATTTATTTAGGTCATTAGCGTCAGGGATGTTCTTCTCTAGAAATCTGTTCGATTCTAGAATAAGGGCATATGGGTATGCAACCCTGTTTGCCCTAATTTCCTTTACGCATTTCCAACATTCCCTCCTTTTTTTTCCTCAATCCTTTCCAGAAACCACCAATATATGCATTCCCAAAAAGGGTTGACGTCAGGCAGGCGGCTGGTCATAGAAATATAAGCCAAATCCTTTAGTAATATGGATAAAACCATATTATGCTGACCCCAAATAATAATTGGGATAAGGGTAGGAAGATGATGATATATATATATCAACAAACAGTAGACACAATAACAATATATATATATATATATACAATCAATCTAAATATCAATAATTTTAGTGCCAACAGCTGTCTGCCACCCATTACTATAAAACAAAATATGTAAAATGGTTGTGTGCAACTACTTGTATAAAATCAAACGCATACATGAATGACAGAAATGTACCAGTGATCCACTCAAAATCAAAGA